TTTTCAATTAAAACGCGCCTGAATCGCGTTTCTTTTGCGTCTAAATCGCAACATTCGAACGCGTATAGACACAGCTCCCATGAAACATTTCTTGCAGCCAGATGCGTGTGGATGTGGGTGTGGGTGTGGGTGTGGGTGTGGGTGTGTATGTAGGTGTGGGTGCGGGTGTGAATGTGGGTGTGTGGGTGTGTGGATGTGGGTGTGGGTGTGTATGTAGGTGTGGGTGCGGGTGTGAGTGTGGGTGTGTGGGTGTGTGGATGTGGGTGCGGGTGTACTGTGGCTGTGAGTATTCTTCCCTTTCGTACACACACCCACACGTACACCCACACACCCACACCCACACCCACACCCACACCCACACACCCACACCCACACCCACACCCACACCCACACGCACATCCACACCCACACACCCACACCCACACCCACACCCGCATCCACACCCACACCCTCCTGGTCGCGCGCACGAATAGAATATCCATTCCTTTCATCAATTCAACGTGATTTATTTGAGTGAAAGGAAAGAAAAAAACATAATCCATCGTAATGAGTCTATTTGTTTGAAAAACGTTGAACACGATTATTCGAGACATCGGAGACATAGAGACTGCCATGTCGATCGAAAGATAAACCTTCGAGACCGTTGAACTGATTTGCTCCTGCTCCTCGACCATTTCCACCCGCAATGACAGTGCCCTGTTTCGCTCCTTTAGGCCAAAGCATCACTCGATTATTTCCCGAATCTGCCACATAGATGGTACCCAACGTATCGACGAACAGTCCGTTAGGATACGACAATTGTGTCAGAGCATCCCCTTGGCCTTAACCCCCAGCGACGACAATTCCTTCTTTTGCACCTTTATTCCATTTCATCACACGATGATTGTGATAGTCTGACACGTAGACAGTCTGTTGTCGATCGACAAAGATGTAGCCCGGACTGTTGAGTTGATTGAGACCAGCACCATTACCATGGCCACCGGCCACGAGAGTTCCATTCTTGTCTCCTATTTGATATCTTCTTACTTCATCGTTCGGGTAGTCAGATACGTAGAGATATCTCTGATCATCCATGGCCAATCCATAACAATTGACGTTGTCGATGAGGATTTCTCCTTGAGCTGTGCCACTATGACGAGACCATTGTACGACGCGTTGATTCCCTAGATCACAAATAATGAGACTATCATTCTCTTTGTCGATCAATACATCGGTTGGATAATTCAATTGATCCAATTGATTTCCTGGGCCATGGCCACCAGCTACTACTTGCCCATTCGTATCATCCATCTTCCATTGACTGATACGATGATTCTCCCACTCAGCGATGACCATCGTTTGATCATCATAAACGAAGAGACCATTAGGGTACCAGAGTTGATTGGTGGCATTGCCTGCTCCATGGCCTCCAGCAACAGTCACTCCATTCTGTACCCATCGGGCATCGACAGGAATATTGGGAATCCCTACAATGAACGAGAAAAAGAAAAGCAATCGCCGTTATTGAAGAGATCCCGCTCTCTCTATCGTGAGGGAAAGTGTTACAAATGAGATATTCTTCTCCTTCTTCTTCTTCGAGAGAATTTGGTAAAAGTTTCGAGAATGTCCTTCTCTCACAGATACTGTAAACAAGAAAACGTTCTCCAGCCAGATATAAATTGAGAAACCTTTTCCTAGTTTTCTATACAAAAAGAGGACTTCGTAACGATTCTTATAGCTATGTTACTTCCCTCGAATCTCAATCTTGTTCATTCTAAGTGTAGGTGTGAGATATGGATGAGTATGAGTGTTCCGATTCTTCATTCGTACCTACACTCACGCACACTTCATAAGAATTCAATGTTGTTACCATTTTGTAACAAATGACTTATTAGTTTAATATTGATCTGTAAGAACGTATATCAAATGTAAAAAAAAAACTCAAAAGAATTTGAAATTTGATATAGTTTCCTATGTCAACAACATTCAACTATAATAAGTCATTTTTACAAGATGGTAACAAGATTGATATAACTAAAAATTCATCTAAATTATATTTCAAGTAACGCAGATCTATGGAATATGTTATTGATCTCTCTACCAATGTATTCAATTTAAAAAAACCGTATGTTTATTAACATATAAAGATATACAATAAACATTATTCTATGTTTACGACATTCATTGAACTATTTATTGCACGCTCTGTATATAAAGATTGTTTCATAGATTTTCTGCTATTTTTAGTATTTCTTTTTCTATTGTGTCAAATATATAAAAGTTTAACAGACATAGACAATATATCTATTCGGAACGTCTGGACTATGATCAAAAATTCACTATACTCTCAGTTGATACTATTCTTAAGAAAATACATTCTTAGAAAACATGCAAAAATCTTTTTATCAAATTTATTTTCTACTCGTTGTTTTTCTGTTAGAATGAGAAAACCACTATGATTCATTTTTAGCATTTTGTGTTTTTATGGAGCCTAATGATGAAATAGGTTTAAATGTTTTTTTTTACATGTTTAAGATAAAAATACAATGAAAAATAAATTTGATAAAATAATTTACCTCTTACTAAAAATACTAGTTGAGTACAATAAATTTTGAACTATAACTTAGATATGACATTGAAAGATATATTTTTGCATGCCTGTTCTACTTGGCATAGTTAACAAATACAAGAACGAAATCAAAATGCCCTCGAAACTTATGAAATATAGCTATTCGCTTCTTCCTCATCTCTGTTGATGTGAGTAGAAAAACATAAAAAAATTAAAAAAAACCTATTTTGATCTAAACAATAAATAGAAAGATGAAATATCTATCATCCACATTAATTCTTGCTGACAATAAGTTGCTTAAGAAAAAAACCGGTTGTCACGTACTATGAGTGAAAGGGAAAAGTGACACTACGATATACAGAATAAATGTTTGAATGAATGGTTCACTGAAACAAATGAGAATATTAACAGAAATAATATGGAGATGAACAAAATAGAACTGAAGAAAAACATACACATTCCAACATATAAATAAACGATGGAACTGTTAAAATAAACTGTTTACAAACTTTAAATAGTCAATATAGTAAATTATTCTAAAGAAATAAGGACTCATCACAACTCGATGCATACTGTCACTTGAGATCAAACAAAAGAAAACTCATGAAAAAGAGTTTAGAATTTCAATGTATTCATTCATTGCGAGAAAAAAGTTAACAAATCATATGAATGTCTCAGGCTTTGATGCATAATCTATTTATTCGTCTACCTCTGAGCAAAATCAGCGGATGTAGTGAGACACACAAAGATTTCTCCCATCATCATCACGATAAATAGAAAGATATCTTACCATTAATAGACGAAGGAAAAACATACTCTTATATAATTCAATCGATTCTATTCAGTTAGCACCCTTTATTCATTTGTAAGGTGATGAAAAAAAAACAAACGTAGTTAATTTTCTATTTTATCCATGTTAGATTTGTTTTTTTTCTTCTAACAATGTTAAATCTTCAGAATTCAAAAATGTTTATCCATACCGAAATGAAAACAACAATAATTTTCGATAGCTCTAAGAAAAGTTGATCGTCAAATATATCACCAACAGATTCTTAATATGATAAGAATGAAAGGAAGAATATAACGATAACTATGCTACATTGCAAATAGATCAAAATCACATTTTGAACCTTGAGAAAAATAATATAAATGAACAAAGTAAACAAATAGATAATAGAAACAGGCATCAACTCTACATATACAAAGAGAAAAAAAAGTAGTCGTATGTCTTTAAGAATATCCTATTTTTTTAATGATTGTTACAAAATGAATTTGTCATTCTGATAAAAAAATCAGAGTAGTCTATAAATAATAATTTTCATATCAGATGTGTTCATATAAACACAAGTAATCGAAATAAAGATTCTGCGTCTAAATGCGTTCAATTGCTTTAAAAAGAACGAGAAAATACGAGTAAAACTATGTTTTCCTAAGGAATATTTCGGCGTTAATATGTGTTTTAGTCTTTCAACACGGTAACAGTCGTGAAATTTGCGCTGAAAACAAATAAAAACACTTAATTTAACGTATTAAAGAAATCGTGAGAACGCTGTTTTAAAATTATTTCAATATCTGATGTATTTTTAGCGAGTCATTACTAAAGATCCTCTAGGACACGAGTCAATATCTTAATCTTATATCATTCGACAGTGGAATACTTACTCTTTACCGGAAATTAAAAAGAAGCTCTTTGCGATCTTCATAGGTAAAACTATGAATAAAATGCTTCGAAAAAAGTTTCTCGCAGAATTGAGACATCAGACTTTAAGATTGTCTGAATTCACTTAGGGAAGAAAGGGAGGAGGCCTTTAGAATACAGTGTATTTTTACATTATCTGAAGCCAAATGTTTTATTAAATTGAAATAAAGCATCTTTGTTTGAAAGGCAACATATATAGTAGTATCAAATGAAGAGAAAGGATGGATTTCGTTTTGTAGATATCAATAAACAGAAGTAAACTTCAATAGTGACGACAAATAATCAACATGGAGATTACTATTAATTGATTTTTTTTTCTTATGATAAAGACTTAATCATTCATAATATAAGATTGCCGATCCTATCAATGTTACCTTTTACTAGCTGCGAAGTAATATTGTATACAAAGGAACTATATATACTTCAGTAAAAGTTAGAATTTGTCAAGATCAACAAGCATTAATTGAATGCTTATACCTATCTGCTGCATAGTTATTGTAGTTGTAGTGTTCGCCACTATTCATTATCATAGAAAATTTGTATAAACAAATCAGATAGTATTAGATCTGACATAGAATGTAATATAGAATTCGGTGCACTTAAGTTTTATGTGAAGCATAAACAGTGTTTCAAAGTAGAGTACCGATCTCAAATGGTATGAAAAGGGATTTTTTCTTTCAAAACTTATTTTTGATGGAAAACGTCTGTGTTCATCGAAGACCGAAAACCCAGTAAAATTTTCGACAACTCTACTCGATTTGATGCGATTGAATCACAAGTTAAATCGAATCGTATTGAGTAGAATCAAATCGAATCGAATCTGTTCTGCTCAAATTCATCGCTTCTGTTATATTTTAAATACGAGTAAAAGATTTAAATGTACTGACTGTCGTTGCAGTACAAGATCATTATTCCAAATATGAAATTTGTGATTTCAACCTGTCACATAAATTACCTACATGCCAGTGTGTTCGTCGTCTTAGACCATTAGAATATTCTGTCGTCGTATTAACAGTGTGAGTGGAATGGCTTCACAGAGATACTCGAAAGAACCGAAGAATACTGTACAGATAAATTGTTAAAACCTCTCTCTCGTCCCTCTTGTCGTCAGATGGTTTGAATATTGACATTCTTCTCTTAGGAAAGAAATCTCAAATGTTTGATGCAAGCGGGCATCGCCTCCAAAATAATTAGCCGTGCCAAGAATATCCTCCAATATGCATTCTGTGCTTATTAGTGTTTTTCTAAGGCGACTGAGTCAACAGTGCTACAAACTATGAAATATAATTTACGTACAAAGTTGCATTACTGATCATTAGTGACATATTCATTCAATTCAATGACTAAAGCACTTTTGAGCTCTAGCGTTTACTACGTCATAGTTAAATGATCCGTCTTCAATTTCGCAAGGTTAGTCATTAAAAACATGACAGAGAGAATCATAAATGCGTTTTCTTTCGAACTAGATGCTAATTGCAGTTGTCTTGAAAAAAGGCTGCCGAGTAAACTCAATATTCACTAGATTCAGTCGAGTATATAACGAAAACTGTGAATAAAGAGAAACGTGACACAATAGAATTGAAGTGCTCTTATGGAGATCCTAATATATGACACGTTCTACAGAATCGAATCGAATGATCAATTGTTCAATTTGTTTCGGTCTCTGATATACATTCAAAAGTTCACTGCGTCTTCATGCATTGCTAAATATAACTGAAACAGACTCTGTATTTCAACTTTATGGATAGAGTCCATGAGAAGAAATGAAATCTTTTTTCCAATGATTACAATTCGTGTTGTCTCTGTGATGCTTTATCTACTTTTTCATAGGCTCTTCGACTCTTCCCCACTGCTCCTACACCAACATGAACCGCATATGTGAGAATGTGTGAATGATGAAGAAATAACTTTAAAAAAAAATCGGCTTTCACTTGAATCTGTAGATCACTGTTTATTCTCTTACTTGCTATCGGTGGACAGAGTTGTTTATTGAAACGTGGGACTGGATAACAAACAGGCAGATTATGACATCGAGGATGATGAACACATCTATGGTTAGGCTCACGACAAAGATTGGTTGAGTATTCGCATGGAGCTAGCTCAGAACAATCGACGAATTCACCGCTACAAATGCCAATGTCAGTAGCACCTGCTATATGGAAACAGGCACACGCACTATTTGACGAACATCGATTATATTGCGCAATTTCATGGCACAATTGAGATTTCACTCGAACTAGCAACATACTAAAGTAATAGGAGGGCATGTAAAACAAAACAAGAATCAAACCTGTAAGGCTTAAAAAGAAGATTGTTCAACATTAGATGAATAGGAAAAAAATAGATTTTAGAATTACCTGAATAGAACGAATACGAAACAGCGAATTACTGTTGAAACCATCGCTTGCGTTGAAATGAGACAGAATAGCGGCAGCACCCGTCTTTATATATAATGAAGAGACAATGTTTTTTGCATTTGCCGAAAGTGAAGAAGCGCACGGCGTGATCTTTCGATAAATAGAAATTCGATATTGCTCCACTGCTTTCTTAAGCACTTAATTTTTCTCCAAAAAGTAATCTTTATAGAAGAAAACAACGTCATAAAAGCAATATAGGATTGCCTCTGCGATATAAGCATTTAATAGGCTCGTGCCATCATTCGAACCATGAATATTGTTATTGTCAATCATCGACTCACTATGTAATGATGACTTAGAACAATTTCAAAAGCAAATTTTGTTTTTAATATTTGTACTTTTATAATGGGCAGCTTACAGAAATTTGCATCTCGATCAAATCAAAGTCCCATTCTATAGTCAGCCACATTCATTTGTACTTTGAACTGTGTCTTCGTTGCATCTCAAGGGTTTAATTGTTCAACTTTCATCTCCAAATATCATTTTTGACATAAATATGTCCAGTTTAAGAAAAAGATCTTCTATGAAAATGGTGGCGTGGTAGCTACGAGTGCGTCAAAGGCTGGGATCGTTTGTGAGCAAACAAGTTATTTCAACGCTGAAGTAGATTGCTGCTCCCTCTGTAGAAACTATTCTGACAGCTTGTGCCTTTCCTGTGAAGAATTTTCAGTCACGACACTATTCGAAAACCATTTCCCCAGCAAAACACTCATGCTCAATCGATTCAGTCACTTTCGACTTAAGATCACAGAGTCATTTGTCAACTCTCAAGTGAATGCTGTTCAATTTTTTTCTCAACATCCTCCTTTCAGATCAGAGACTTGACTACAGGGTGTGGGTGTGGGTGTGGGTGTGGGTGTATTGTATCTCTTTATCTGCGCCCACACCCACACCCTCGATAAAGATGTGTTCTTTTTATTCAGCTGTGGACAATTGGAAGCTGCTTCACTTTATGGAGAAATGCTTCACTCCACATAAGTTAGTTCTAATTTACTTAGCACCATGTAATTAACCAGGCTCAATTTCCCGTCGTTGAATTCCTGCTCCAAAATATTTTTTGAGTGAACACTATTTATTTAACAATAATGTTCACTAAATAGTATTCATTTCCCAAAAAAACCTTTTTCATCTTAAAGTTGCCAACATAATCTTTGCCTTATAAAACCATTTATTCATAAAATAACTAAGGGTAACTTCGAGAACCATCAACGTCGAACTTACAATCCAGTAAAAAAAAGTGAGATTATATCTGATTTTGTGAGATTATCATCGGATTCTTCTGCACCAAAATGCAAATTATAATCGATTGATATTTTCCAAATTACAAATAATCTAATTTGAATCAAAAATAATTCTTCGAAATCAAGAATAATTTAGATTTTAATCAAATTATGTTGGATTTTAATCAAAATTTTACTTGATTGCGAAAGCTTTTTCTTAATTTGAAATAATCCTAGGAATCAAGTAAAATTTTGATTAAAATCCAACATAATTTGATTAAAATTTAAATTATTCTTGATTTCGAAGAATTATTTTTGATTAAAAATCAGATTATTTGTAACTTGGAAAATTTCAATCGATTATAATTTGCATTTTGGTGCAGAAAAATCCGATGATAATTTCACAAAATCAGATATAATCTGACTTTTTTTCAGTGGAAATCTTGTCACTTTTACATAACAACCTTATAGCTTTATCCATAAGAGACAACTACCCCTTAACTTCGACATGACAAGTGCACGAAGAAGATATAGATGAAACACTTATTACTCAAACATCACCATTTCTTACAGAACGAAATTCACTTTTCCTACACGCAACCATTCCAATGAACAAAGCAAACTTATCCATTTCTCTTGAAGTCTTTTCGATTTCTCCTTGAAAAATAATCATTTCTAGTAGAAATATTCTTTAAGATAGAAAAAGATAAATGATTCGTGTCTCTCGAAGTATTTTCAATTTCTGCTGATGAATGGATAAATTGATAGAATAGTTCTCTTTGTTATTGTTCGTTTTCTTTTCTAGTGGTGTGATCGAATGAAGTCATGGTATTCGTTTAAAAAAACCATTTCCCTCTGACTTTATGTGATTTAAGCATTTCTCCTTGGAGTGAAATAGTTTCTCTTTGAGAGAAGGAAATGGTCCAGTGGGTGTGGGGGTGTGGGTGTGGGTGGGCGTGGATATAAGTCTAGTATTTCCTCTTACCTACACCCACACCCACACCCCACCCTATTGGGTTAAACCGCAACGAATAACAAGAATTTTTTGTGATTTTCTAAATAACTCTTCGAAATACCATACCTGTGTTTGGCTGCAGATATCACAGAACTACTTTCTTTCAGTTTACAATTTGATTTTAATAGGACTTCAATCAGAAGAAGTGTAGCTATAAGAGGCAAATTTTGTCACAATCATGGGCTCTCTCATAGACTTGCCCAATTCTAATCGAAACAGAAAAACATACCGTTGCATGTAGTTGCAGTTCTGGTATCCATTCTTCACCCTTTTTAGTAAGATTTGATGGTAATGGAAGCCACGGTTGAATTTCAGTATGATCTTGTGATCTATAGAACCAGTTCTCCGACAATGGACCTATGCCACCCATTGGATCTGTTCTGTACAACAACTGTGCTTTAAAAAAAGTCTTATTTAAAGAGAAAAAGGAGAGAATTTGTTGTCTTTACTTTTGTAAATTTTGGATAATCGGGACTAAAATTGAACATTGTGTAACCTTGCGAAGCTGGCTAAAATAAACTTCATGATTTATCTTTTGTTTTTCAAAAAGAAATTATTTTTTGGTTACTGAATCTGCTTCAGCACCTTCGGGTTTATATTTAAGCGTGTCGTAATACTGGACCATGTAAACCACTAAAATACGACCGTTTATGGTCGTATAGCGAGCGTATACGGTCGTTTACAGTCGTATACGAAGCCCGTAATCGTCGACCTGGGAAGCCATTACTAAAATTGAATGCGGCACATATTGTTTTCATTGATAAGGCATAAGCAATTATCAACATTGTATATCCTATAGAGTGGTATATTTTCGCTGTCGACTAATAAATTTACATGTTTATGATTGTCTTCGCTATGTTGAATATTTTGTTACTCAAGAAAGAATACAGTGTCTTCTAGGTCATCTCTGTCTGTTAGTCCTCAATCTAATAATTACAAGAAACAAGAACAATATTTTGATAGTTAGATATATGGGAGAATCGATTTTTAGATTCGTCTACTTCATCAGACTATTTATCAATATTAACATGGCTCATTGGAGAACTATTCGATCGCTTTTCTACATTGTGTTGAAAACCTGATTGTGAAATTATTCGACCTTGATGGAATCTGCTTTCGCCTACGTGGATAGTCAAAGAATCTAATGTATTGCAATTGCGAAAGTCGACGATCTATTCAAGTTAGATTTCTAAATCATGCTTTATATGCTCAAGACTTTCAAGATTCAATCACCCAGACACTTATATGAGATCAGTTAATCGAATCGGTACGGTTTCAACTCTAGACATCCTTCGAAGTTCTCCGCCGATTGATAAAATCTGCGACCGACAACCTAGTTGCATTTCCAAATTATTCAAATAAACAATGGAGCATATTATATTTTTAAATGTTCAGCTTCGTTGTTTAAGCAAATATTTAGAAAAATTAATTTTAAACGTGAAGACATCAACAAGAGCTCTTTATTTTTAAATATAGTAGAAACGATTTTTATTACGCGGAAGAATGTGTCTTGAGTATGATTTTTCTTGGTTTTCAACGTTTTCAGAGCACACATTTTTTGCCTTTGCAGTCATATCCTTCCCGTTCCTCACATCCAAAAACAAAAAATGATGATCCTACATATTGCCAATCATATCCACCACCACTTGCATTAATTTTGTATATGCAACAACCGTAATCAACAAAAGGCATGTCGACTTGTTGTGGTACTTGCCAATTCTCTTTATCGAAATAAAGTGTATTGAATTTAGTACATCGCGTACCATTGTAGATCCCTGATGGTTGTACCTTAAATTCAACGTTGACTTGGTCACTAGGTGCATGAACTGGTGGTGTTTGCAATTTTATTGTAAAATGATCATGATCATGTGGAGTTACCACATAAGCTTGGGACGGTTCCAGAGTGAATTCTAAAAACAATCAAAATATAATAACACAAGTAAAGTTAGAGAAATAATTGAGAACTAGCGTTTACCTGCATTTGCATTGCCACAATAAGAAGGCCATTGTTTAGGTAAGTCAAACAAATGTTCAGCTTGTGATGGAATACCATTTGTAAATGATAGGTAAACTGTAGTTAGGTATCTATGTATCACCATGTGGTTATTTATTTTCTCATTAAACGCGTGCAATATATACTTACTCATCACTATCGAAAGATTCGGGAGGAGAAGGGCGTGCCTGAATGGTTTTGACTGGTCTATTTTTTGTTTCAAAATAACTTAAACATGGAACTTTACCAATACGAGAATGTATTAAATTGCATATTTCAGGTGAATCATATCTCTACAACAATGAAAATCTTTGTATTACATGCATATATTACAGAACTTTTTTTCAAATATCAATTTCATCCAAACAGAACTTCTATCAGAAAAACTTGACCTTTAAGAGACAAATTTTATCACAATCGCTGTTTCTCTCAAAGACTTGCCCAATTTTAATCAAAACAGGAAAACATACCGTTGCATTTAGTTGAACTTCTGGTATCCATTCTTCACCCTTGTTAATAAGATTTGGTGGTAAAGGAAGCCATGGGTAAATTTCGATAGTACCTTCTACGCCATGTAACCATTTGACTGGGAATGGGCCTATATCAACCATTGAACCTGTCCTATACCAACAATTGTTCTGAAAAAACATTATTTGAAGAGAAAAATGAGGAGAATTGTTGTTTTACTTTTGTGAAGTATGGAAAATCAGGATTGATATTGAACATGGTATAACCCTGCAAAGCTGGCTAAAAAAACGTTTTACGGTTAATTTTTTTTACTTTCATAATGAATTATTTTCCACTTACTGTATCTGCTTCAGCACCTTCGGGTTTATATTTAAGTATCCAAGTTTCATTTTGTTGCGCTCGCGATCCTTTAAGATCAAAACGAGCTCTTAAATTTTTGTAATCATACAATAATTGTTTGACACCTAGAAATGGTGAATCCCAAGAACGTAATCCACTTATATTTAATGTTGCTTGAAATTGTTTTGGAAAACCTGTTTGACTTAAACATTGATTAACAAATAGAATCAACAGGGTCGACAATATCATTTGTTTCATTTCCCAAACTTTTTTTTATTGGAAATAAAACAATATGAAAAACAACAAGAAAGAAGATACTTTTATATATGGTACTTGCTCCGTCATCATTGGCACAAATATTATATTACAATTACAATAGGAATGGAAAAATAGCAGTCACTGAGTCATTCACACTAGGCACTTTTTTTCGCTTTATCACCGACGCACGTCATTCATAGGACAGAAAATTCGTATATTCCTTTTCTTTCGTTCTGCCGCATCATACAATAAATGAAAATACGAAATCTCCAATAGATAACGTGCATCAGCGACAGAACGAAAAAAGTGATTAGTGTGCTAGTAAGTGACTGCTATTCTTTTGTTCCCTAATTATAACATGAAACACAACTTAAGCCATGATTTAAATGGAATATACGACATTTTTTTCTTTCATAAGGCATCAGAAATTGCCACTTTTGTAGATGTATACTTCTATTTGAATTAGAAATGTCATGATGACTTATGCAAAAATCACAGGCACTATTGCAGAAGAGTGGGTGTGGGTGTAGGTGTGAGGTGTGGAGGGTGCGTGTGGGCTGTGGGCTGTAGGGTGTGGGTGTGAAGTGTGGGTATGGGGTGTGGAGTATGGGTGTGAGTGTGGATGCGGGGTGTGGGGCGAGGGTGTAGGTCTGGCTGAGTGGGTGTGGGCGTGCTTTAACGGAATATCAACATCCACATCCACACCCTCATATCTCACCAAAAATACATTCGTTTGGGTGTGGGTATGGCTATAGGTGCAGGGACGATGAACACCCGCACCCATACCTACATCTACGCTAACAACCACACTCACCTACACCCACACCCATGCCGACACCCTTTTTGGCAAGGAGGAGACATGAGTCTGCGATTTTGTGATCTAAAATGATTTTGGGGTGTGGGTGGGTGTGGATGTGGGTGTGAATGTGGGTGTGAGTGCGGGTGTGGGTGTGAGTGTGGGTGTGGGTGGGTGTGGGTGTGGGGTGTGGGTGTGTGGGGTGGGGTGCGGGTGTCGGTGTTTGCGTGTCCTTTTTAATTTATCCACATCAACAATCACAGCGACACCCACACCCAACCCACACCCACACCCAATCCACACCC